CATCGTGTGGATGTCTCATGATGGGGCAAATGTGCACAAAGGGCAAAGATGAAATCCAGGAAACTTAAGTTTACTTCTGAAAAAAGAGTTTAATCCACAACTTTCTATCACCATGATACATTCCGCAAGTATTGTTCTAAATCGAGCAATGCACCACCATGTATGGCTCCAGGGCTATGAGAGGGGAGCAGAGGTACTGGCTCTGGGGCAGGGAGGCAGGGATAAAGTTCTTACTCTGATACGTTCAGTGCCTCCAGTCTTGCTAATTCTTGGGTGATTACAGACCCTTTAACTGGCCGTGCTAGACAAACCCTCTTGAGTGGGGAGGTGTAGCTAATCTTAACAACTTTAAACAGAAACTTCCCACATAAGACTGAGCCATAGCCTGTTCCTCTTTAAATCGTGCCTCTGTACTGCACTGCTCTGCACTGTTGCTATGGAAGATGCTTCACCATAGTAATAACCTCTTTCAGGGAAGATTAAAAAGAAGCAGTGCACATGCTCAGAGATGCTTTTTCTTGTTCTGTTGGCAGTTTGCAGCGGCCATGTCAAAGAGACCATCATAAAGACAAGAGAAATCAGGTACTAATATATATATTTAATTTGTGGGATGGGGTGACTTTTGTTTCATAAAACTCCAAACAGGCCATGCTCAGATTTTTGTCGGCTGTCGGTTGCAAAGGCAGAGGCAGACAACACTTGAAAGCATGTTGTGATTATGCTATTTCTGTTCAAAAACCTAACAGTCACTTAGATGTGGTGTGAGACAACTGATGCCCCAAGGGAATGTTTCTTTTACAGAGGGGCTCATTAAAAAGCTGAGCTGGGGCTGGGACTGAACATGTCTCAGGTGCCCTGAAAAAGTTTAGCTGAGCATCTGCTTCATTTGCCTCACTGGTGCTGAAGCTTCAGCCTGAGATTATAGGAATTAGCTTCTTGTTCATGATGCTCCTGTGCAGCTAAAGGCACTTTAGATGTAAATGGCACTATCCTAATTTGCGGTTTCAGGAGGACACTCTGCTTTTGCTGTATCTCATTGCAAGGACTAGGATTTGACTGGACTTGTTTTCACTTGGATCACTACTGATAAAAAAAAACCACCACTTTTTTGTGTGCTGTTAATGCTCTTACTAAAGTTTACTTTGTTAGTAAAGATAATGAAGACAGGCAAAGGGAATCAATAAATGCACACAGTGTCTCAGTTCTTTTGTTGAAAGAATTACAGAAGGGACCCATTTTTTCCCTAAAACTGGCCTCCTGAGTTTGTGGCTGCAAAACATGCAAGTTTGTCCACTGTACTACAACCAGGGATTTGTGCATGGAGCACAGATGATTGCACATAACAGTACTCCTTTGCTGGCCCAGCTGCCAATTTGCATATGCAGCAGGTGTTCATGCAAAATTTGCAGATTCATCTCAGTTGCCAGGGTTTGCAAATGTGGCCCTGCAGTTGTCTAAACAGCAGGTTTATTCCCTTATGTTTCTCTTGCAATATGAGGAAAACCACTTCTTCTGACTGGGAAATGTAGACTGTACTGCATAATGCTGTATTCCAGCATCACATTCCGAGCACAAGGATTCAACATTCTTATGCAACATTTTTGCTCAGTGTTAATATTTAAAAATTAGAAAAAGAACAGACAACTCATCCTCTTGCCTTCCTGTGCTCTGCTAATGAGAATCTGTACTCTCTGCATATGGAATTTATTTTAGTCTTGTTACTGCTTAGAACTGAGTAAGTTTTTCTCTTTGCCTGTGTTTGAATGTACAGCAACTGGTCCCAGTATACAATGCTCCATCTTGAGCTAAGCAACTTACCTACTTGGGTCAAGATGAAACACTGCATACGAGAGCTGATAGTGTTCACAGGCTTCATCTTTGTATTCAGATAAGGTAGCCTTGGGTCAGGCTGTCCAACACTTCCGACCATGCTTTCGCCATCTCTGGTGTACAGGAACAAATGGATGACAATAAGTAAAGGTCTGAAAACCAAGCAGGGATCAGAGGAGAGACAAGGGGGAATAATTCATTTCAAGAAACAAACTGCTGGCTTTGTTTTAGTTGTGACCAGTGACTATGCCTATGGTTCTATGGGTTGGGGTTTAAGAAAAGCCTCTTCTTCTGCATAAAGAAAGCTGTGTGACACCAGCTTTTGTGATTTGTTTAGTTGCAAAATAATTATAAAATTAGTTTTAGTTTTGCAGGTACCTTAAAAATGCGAGGGAGAGAGCACTTTTCATCTCTAGGTTCAAATGCAGGTCAGCTTGGTAGCAGAGCTGCACAAATTCCCAGGGGTTAGCAATGACCCAACCATTGCTGGTTTGGGTTGGTGTTAAAATAGGACAAGTATCAGCATCACAAAGCTGGCACCATCGTTACCCATCTCAGCAGAGAGGCCAAAGAGTGACTGAGCCATGGCAACTGAATTTCCATCTCATTCCTACAAGAAGTCCCTCTAGGCCAGGTTTGAGGCACATGGGTGGAGTGGGGTGAAGAATGTTGCTCTGCCACTGTCCATGCTGTACCTGTTCTGTAGCTAAAGAGAGGAATTTAATCTTCAGGACAGTCAGTCTTGTAATAATCATGAACATTACAGACAAAAAGCGTTTATTTTACAGAACTTAATGTTTCTCACTAACTTGTTTATTGCCCCTAATAAAGGAGGAAGTGCCAATTAGCAGGATGCTGACACCTTGCCTCCTAAGAAGAGTGGTCTTCCTGGTTCCTTTAATTTTTGTAGTTGTGCTGCTCACCATGGAGCCCATTAAAGCCGACCAAGAAGCAGGAACAACAATCCCAGCTGAAAGTATGTACTGCCCTGTATATGGTTATCTCATAACTATACATGAGTGTAACACAGATTTAATGCTGCAGCATTTACAGGTGTTTAAAGATCATCTTAATTCAACCAGTCCTGGAAACTTCATGTTTTCATTGCACTAGAGAAAATCTTCATAACATACTGTGTACCCCCTTCCTCAGTCCCACAGTGGCTTCTGGATCACATTCGTCCTCCCCATTCACTCATCCAGGGCACCTCACTGCTCTGCACCTTCCTGCACTTCTTCAGTCCTATCCCTACCCTGCTTACATGCTGTACTCTGCCAGAGTGGCACACCTTGACGCTCCATTCCCCACCCCCTACATTTGGAGCGTCCTCTCCGGTCCTGTGTTCCATGCAATTATAGTCTCCGCCTTTATATGGATCCTCAAGGATCACTTCTTTCCGCCAACAATGCCCTCACTGCTGCCTTCATGCCGGGCATTATCCCCCAACCTAATATAGTAAAAATTTTCTTAAATTAAAAAAACGAATGAACAGGATACCGAAATAATAATAAGCACATCTCATAATCTTTCATGATCACAATCTCCATCCTCCCATTCCCCTCTCTTTGTGTATAGACATCCGTTGAGCTGTGATGAGTCTAGTTTACATTATAAATTACTTGGAACAAGGACCTGTCATTTTATTTGTCTGGAAAGTGCCATCCTCACCTATGGTTCTATGTATATAATTAATAATAATAACAAAATTAGACTAAGAAATATACTAGAACGGGAGTGGGCAAACTACGGCCCGCGGGCTGGATCCGGCCCCTCAGGGCTTTGGATCCGACCCTTGGTGCTGCCGGCACCACGTCTCTGCGGCCCCGGGTGGGGAGGCACAGGGCTCCGTGCGTTGCCCTTGCCTCCAGGCACCGCCCCCCACAGCTCCCATTGGCTGGGAACGGGGAACCGCGGCCAATGGGAGCTTTGGGGGAGGTACCTGGAGGCGCGGCAAAGGCAGCACACGCAGAGCCCTTCGCCCCCCCTCCCCCAGGGGCTGCAGCGCTTCCTAGAGCCACGCGGGGCCGGGGACAGGGCAGGTGTGCAGGGAGCCTGACCTGGACCTGGGGCGCACCGCTGCCACCCTGAAGCCGCTTGAGGTTAGCGGGGCCGGAGCCCGAACCCCTCCTGTACCCCACCCTGGAACTCCCTGCCTGCACCTCGCACCCCTCCTGCACCCCAACTCCCTGCCCTGAGCCCCCTGCTGCACCATGCACCCCTGCTGCACCCCAACTCCCTGCCCTGAGCCCCCTCCCGCAATCCACACCCCTCCTGCACCCCTGCCCTGAGCCCCCTCCTGCACTCCGCACCCCTCCTTTGCCCCAATCCCTTGCCCTGAGCCCCTTCCTGCACACCGCACCCCCTCCCACACCCCGCACTCCCTCCCGCACCCCAACCCTGGCCCTGCATACTATTTCCTCACCCAGATATGGCCCTCGGCCCAAAACGTTTGCCCACCCCTGTACTAGAACATTCAGCGATTAGCTCTTTAAATATATTTTTATACATTTCTCCTTTTATTCAGCTACAGCTGAATAATTTGGAGTGTTTCTTTTCTCAGATAGGCAGACTTTTAAAGGACTCTGAAAATTCATCTTTCCTTATTAGCAGGCAGACTTCATGTTGTAGGATCCCACTCCAGTTTATCAAAAGTGTGTGGAAATCAGTCAGTGTTTGCACAACAGGCTGAAGGTCATTGCAGCCTCACGCTAGTTCTTTCCTTGTCTCTGCTCAACTTCAGAGTGCTGACTGGCCCCAAGTCCTGAACGTCTCATTTGAGCAAATCTCCCAGTGAAGTAATCAAAGATGCATAGAAGTTAAGAGGCAAATGAGAGCATATGGAATGCCAATAATAGTTGATTTTAGAGCATATTAGTATCATTGCTTTATCTGTCCTGTCTCTGAATTGCTAATGTTTATAGGATATAGTTTCTAGTTGGATGAAGATCTGGACATGGTCATCCACAGTCTTGTGACCTGCAGCTTGGATTACTTAGACCAGAGAACACAAACCTTAAAAATGCTGCAATTAGTCCAGCAGGCAGCAGCCCACATTCTCAGCGACCCCAGCCACTAGGAGCACCTCGGTACACTGCTCACTACAATGGCTCCCCATGCAATAATGCGTCAAATTCAAAGTCTCAGGTCTTCACATTGACCCAAACTCTGTGTGATGATGATCTCAGATGCATTCCATTAAACTGTCCATTTCAAGCTTATGACAGCTGGAAACAGGACTTTCTTGGGAACAGGTCCAAGGCTTTGGAGGTCTGAGGTTTGTAACCTATCATTTAAATCAGCATGTGGACAAGGGGGATCCAGTGGATATAGTGTACTTAGATTTTCAGAAAGACTTTAGCAAGGTCCCCCACCAAAGGCTCTTAAGCAAAGTAAGCCCTCATGGGATAAGAGGGAAGGTCCTCTCATGGATCAGTAACTGGTTAAAAGATAGGAAATAAATACAGACTAACACGGCTACCACTCTGAAACCTTTCAGAGTAAAGGGGAAGCAGAAAACTCACTACTTCAATTTAGCAATCCCACAGCAACTAAAATAGTAACAAAGAAGAGAAGAAGGAAAGGGAGACATGGCAATAGTTTGTACAGCACCTAGCACAACGGGGTCCTGATCTATGACTGGCTCTGCCAGGAATTACCTCCATACAAATAGTAACTAATTAATAAGAGGAAGAAAAGGAAAGAACAGGGGGAAAGAGGAAAAATAATCTTTAAATAAATAAATGACTTACTAAAACATAGTCCAAACTGCCTCAGGCAGAAGTGAGAAGAAAATTAGACGTCCTAACTTTATTTTTTATTATGAATTCTTTTTGAGGAACTCAGATACTAGGATCATAGGCATGGTAAAAAAACATGAATGGATAGATTGATTTGCTTCCTGGACTTTCACTTGCAGCTTTTCACTACTCTTAAATCACAGCATTCGTTCTCTGCTTTTCTAAGCTAGCTACCCAATACTGGTAGTGGATGTTCCTGTTGCTGCCTTGCTTGTTGTCTCTCTTGGAAGGGCCTGATTCAGTAAAAAGTCATAATCATTCCCTTTGATTACTATTCCATGCCATTTAGGAATGTCTCTCTACTAAAACTCTTCCCTAGGTCGCCCCTGCGTTGACTGCCATGCATTTGAATTCATGCAGAGGGCCTTGCAGGATTTAAAGAAGACTGCGTATAATCTAGACACACGGGTAAGGAGGCATTGGACTTTTTTGTGACATGACAAAGTTGTTTTGCTTAGAAGTGGGTAAAATTTATAGATTTTTTTGTTTGTTTTTGTTTGGGCAATATCAATCTGCTGTACACAGCTGTTCTCGAGGGATGGTGTTGGGCAATATCTGTTCATTGCTCAGGATAATAGCATGAGTTACCTAGCTCCCTCTTATTCAATGTATAAGACCATTGAGAGGATTAGTGAGGAGCTGTGGTCTGCGCAGCTTTCAGTATTTTGATGACATCCCGCTCCATCCCTATCTCTATCTCACCCAACTCAGTCAGTGCTACCAGCCCATGGTCCAGTAGCTGGTTGGGGTTGGGGCAGGGATGAGAGCTAGTTGGCTGAAGCTCATTCTGGATAAGACTGAAGTGATGCTGGTAGGCTGGGGGAAAATTATCAAAAAATATTCCAAGGATCGTACCTTCCCCTCTTATTGAGAGTGTGTGTCTACCTGTTGTCACTAGAGCTTGCAATCTGTGGATACTGTTGTCTCCAACTACTGTTAAACAGTAGCAGTGTCTAGGAAGGGGTTTTTTAGTCTTTGCCTAGCTAGGATGTTGAAAGTGTTTCTTTCAGATGCAAACCTTACTAGTGTGAGTTATACGTTTTTCACCTTGATATTGCACTATTGAAATTCACTCCACTTAGGGCTGCACCTTAAGCAACCCGGAAGCTTCTTCAAGTCCTATCTTAAACTGTAGTGCAGTGTTGCTATCTGCTGGTAAATACCTGCCATGTTCCTCCCTAGAGGTGGCTGCTTTTCAGTGGTAGGTGAAATGATTCCTGTGTTGTGCAATTTAAATACTGTGGGATGAAAGACACTATGTAAATATAAGATATTTAAATTACCTAAACCCAGTGAATATGCATGGTTTATCGTCTAGCAGACATAAAATACCCCACTGTTGCATATGCAACATCAAAATGTACATAGACCATAGTAAGATCTTCATTTTCTGTGTTTTTCATTCATGCAAATTTTTCAAAAGAAGCTTCTAAAAATTTGATCGTTATATTGTCTGACATCTGATTTATATAAGCAAATGTATTTTACAGGTTTGGAAACACAAAAGGACATTGGCATTTTTAGAGATTGGTCTGAGGATCCTTTGAAAGTTGAGCCATAATGTTTACAGAAAAAGGCAGCTGCAGGGCTGAAGATACCCTGAAGATTTTACTATGGAAAAATGTGTTTCAGTGGGGCCAAATTGGTGCACAGCAGATATATTTATTAAGCAGGTTTGTTTATAAGAATACAAGTCAAATGTACGTCAGACTCCTCCATGAATAAATTTGCTTAATGAATACATCTGCTGAGCATCACTAAACCTAAAACTACATATTCATGCCATGCTGAAATGTACCAGTACATCTTTTCTTCTGTTACAAGTATAGTTGAACCTCTTCAGCAAGCAGAGCACTCAGCATCAGTTGATTATTCCCTGATACTCAGATTTCTGAAAGAGGAATAAAAAGTAGATCTGACTTGCCCAACTGGTTTCAAACTCCGTTTTTTTGCAGCGATTTCTCAGGACTGCTTCAAAAACCTCCATAGTGAATAAAGATTCTCAGCAGTTTCCCTGATGGGTTCTGCACTGTCATGGCGACAGGTACTACAGCAAAGAAAAAATGAGGCTGAATAAAAGAGAGAGAGAGAGACTGCAGAGAAGACTGAATTCTTGAGCCCCTCAGGTCTCTAAATTCACTTGATGTTGGGGGGATGTATTCTTTCCCTATTTTAAAAAAATTAAAGTTACTTGAAGCTATATTTACCTGAATGGCAGAGAAAACATTAGGAGGGAGGGGAAGGGGATCAGCTGAGATGAATGCCAAGGACATGTACCGTATATACTTGTTCATAAGCTGAATTTTTTTAGTAAAAAAAGGGACATTTCAGAGAAGGGGGTCGGCTTATGAACGGGTATAGAGAGGGAGAGGTAGGACCCAGCCCCTCCCCTCAACAGAGGGAGCAAGGAGAGGCAGGACAACTAGCAGAGCCAGAAGGGAAGAGGAGGGGCCAGAGTCTCTCCGCTTCTGGCCACGCTGCTCTCCCCCCCCAGCCTCCGAAGCAGCTGCAGCTCCGGGGCTGGCAGGCTGCAGGCGCGCTGCCCGGCCCCAGCTCCTGGAGCAGGCTGCGGCCACATCACTTGGCCCTGCCTGCCAGAGCATGTTGCAGCCACGCTGCTCGGCCCTGCCTGCCAGAGCACGCTGCGGCCGCACCACCTGATCTGGCCCGCCGGAGCACGCTGCAGCCCCGCCGCCCGGTCTGGCCCTCCGAAGCAGGCTGCAGCCATGCCGCCCAGCCTGCCGGAGCAGCTCCAGCCAGGCCAGAGACATCCTCCCCTGGCCCGTCCCACCTAAGGTGGGAAGGGATGGGATGGGGAGAGTGTGGGGATCCTGGGCTAGGGGTGGGGTCATGTGGGGGGTAGTCACGGGGTTACTCCCCTGGCCCCCAGCTTCTCCCCCCCAAAAATTTCCCCACCGGTTGCTGTCCTGGCCCGTCAGGGTAAGTAGCTGGTGTGCTGGGACACTTTGTTTACTTAGGTTTACCTCTGTGCCTGCAGACGCTCGAGGTAAACAAATCATCTCGGCCCACCAGCGGCTTATCCTGATGGCCCGGGATCCAAAGTTTGCCGACCCCTGAAGTATAGGGTTGGCTTATGAATGGGTCATAAAAAATTTCCATTTTTACTTGTCCATCTTGGGGAGGTCAGCTTATAAACTAACTGGCTTATGATTGAGTATGTACAGTATTTCCCAATTGTAAGTATGACAGCTGAGTTTGAGAACATCACTTTGTGAGATATTCTTACAAAACCAGACCCTCTGTCTTTCTCCATCTTAATTTAGGAGTCTGTTTAAATCCAAATGACTGAATCCTTGAATGTGTCTGGACTAGGAATGTCCACTAGGAATTCTCTCTATATGTTCTCAAAAAACATTAAAGCATTTAACTGGATGGCTCAGGAGATTGCTAATGGGTTATGGAGCTTTTCAACTCTCTGCTCACTAGTTCACTCTAGCTTTAACTAGTTAACTCTAGGAGAGTTAGTGCTTTCCAAAAGTTTCAATGTGATAGTTTACACATCAATATGTCTGGTTGTCTTAGTCTGCCAAATATACATAATATACTATGTATAATGTGCTTGGTTGTCTTAATCTAGTTCCTATTGCTGCCATGCCATCCCATAAACCATTGATACCCTTACTGATATTGTGATGTCCTACTCAGGACACCCAGAACTGTGAGCCACTGTGCTACCCCTTAGCAAGAGTGAGAGCTTTGCTGCTGCTATGCTGTGTGTCAGCTCCCTGACACACCAGCCTGTTTGCCTTGCCAGCAAACTCTTCAAAACTCTACCTATCTATACCTTGCTTTGCAGGTAATGATCAGGGAACCCCAGTCTCCCTGCAGTGTCTAGTCCCTCTTGCTGGATGCTCGCAGAAATTATTCGGTTCCCTGCCTCCAAAAAAACAGAGACACATCAGCCTGTTAGGTGAGCTGAAGACTCACACTTCACTTTAATATGCAACACTGAGATGGTTTTGTAATAAAACAAGAATAAATTTGTTAACAAAGAACAGAGATTTAGGTGATACTAAGCAAGAGAAAAAGAGACAGCAGTGGTTACAAATAAAACAAAATAAAACCGTCTTTCTAGAGACTAAAATTTAAGATTAGCAAATTATAATCTTTGCCTAAGCAGTTTTCATATTCACAAGTAGTTATTAATGGTTCCCAATCCTGCTGGAAAGGCATAACAAGTGGGGTTCCGCAGGGGTCTGTTTTGGGACTGGCTCTGTTCAATATCTTCATCAACGACTTAGACATTGGCATAGAAAGTACGCTTATTAAGTTTGCAGATGATACCAAACTGGGAGGGATTGCAACTGCTTTGGAGGACAGGGTCATAATTCAAAATGATCTGGACAAATTGGAGAAATGGTCTGAGGTAAATAGGATGAAGTTTAACAAAGACAAATGCAAACTGCTCCACTTAGGAAGGAACAATCAGTTTCACACATACAGAATGGGAAGAGACTGTCTAGGAAGGAGTACGGCAGAAAGGGATCTAGGGGTTATAGTGGACCATAAGCTAAATGTGAGTCAACAGTGTGATGCTGTTGCAAAAAAAAGCAAACATGATTCTGGGATGCATTAACAGGTGTGTTGTGAGCAAGACACGAGAAGTCATTCTTCCACTCTACTCTGCGCTGGTTAGGCCTCAACTGGAGTATTGTGTCCAGTTCTGGGCACTGCATTTCAAGAAAGATGTGGAGAAATTGGAGAGGGTCCAGAGAAGAGTAACAAGAATGATTAAAGGTCTAGATAACATGACCTATGAAGTAAGGCTGAAAGAATTGGGTTTGTTTAGTTTGGAAAAGAGAAGACTGAGAGGGGACATGATAGCAGTTTTCAGGTATCTAAAAGGGTGTCATAAGGAGGAGGGAGAAAACTTGTTCATCTTAGCTTCTAAGGATAGAACAAGAAGCAATGGGCTTAAACTGCAGCAAGGGAGGTTAGGTTGGACATTAGGAAAAAGTTCCTAACTGTCAGGGTGGTTAAACAGTGGAATAAACTGCCTAGGGAGGTTGTGGAATCTCCATCTCGGGAGATATTTAAGAGTAGGTTAGATAAATGTCTATCAGGGATGGTCTAGACAGTATTTGGTCCTGTCTGCAATGCTGTCCAAGAACTTATTGGATGGTCTGTGCCCCGCTGTGTTATTTTCCCAACTTATATCTGGATAGTTGAAGTCTCCCATCACCACCAAATCTTGGGCTTGGGATGATTTTGTTAGTTGTTTAAAAAAAGACTCATCCACCTCTTCCACCTGGTTAGGTGGCCTGTAGTAGACTCCTAGCATGACATCACCCTTGTTTTTTACCCCTTTATTTATTAGCACTTCCAGTTCTTCCTGCTTATTACCCATACTTCTCGCATTCGTATATAGGCATCTAAGATACTGATTTGATCTTGCCTCCCAGTTTTGCCCTGACCCTCCTTTCTCTCTGCCATTATGGCCCACGCTCCCTCCTATTTCCGACCCATCTCCCAGGTCTCCATGTTCCCCACTTACCTGTGGGCTTTGTTCACCTGTCGCCATCGAACCTAGTTTAAAGCCCCCCTCACTAGGTTAGTCAGTCTGTGTCCAAATATGGAACAGCTTGCTTCCATGTGAGGAGAGATTAAAAAGACTGGGCCTGTTCATCTTAGAAAAAAGATGATTAAGGGGGGATATGATAGAGGTCTATAAAATCATGAGTGGTATGGAGAAAGTGAATAGGATAAATGAACCAAAAACCAGGTTCCAGACAACCATGAACATTTGGCTGGGTTCAGAATCTGAACCTGGATCCAGATCCAAAGTTTGTAGTGTGTTCTCTCTACAATGGGCCTAACCAAAACCTCAGCTCTGAATAGCCCTAAATTTTGATGGACTCAAAATCCAGGTCTTAATTTAGCAGCTGGGACCCATGTCTAATTTTTAGGTGTAATTTTAGGGATATTTTAATTTTGTGTGTAAACAGTTTTATGATCATGCTCAAGTAACAGCTACCAAAACCTCTATTTGTTCTTTATTAATTTCTACACTATTCATGATAAATTAGTTTATGCAAAGCATATCAAATTAGATATGCCCATGCAAATAAAAATAAAACATTAGCCATGACTGAGTTTGTAAATTTTCACTAGAAATATAAAAGTTGGTAAGCAGCTTTGAGACTTAGCTCAGAAACCATTGGAAAGCTGTCGGGTTATCATATTCAAGCCTTTATGAGTAATGTGAAGGTGATATTTAAAAGGTAGATGATTGAGTGCTTTTAAGTGATTAGCAAAAGTCTGATTAGGCTTTCCCACTCAGAGTAACTGAAGGGCTCAATATTAGTGATTCCCTGAATTAGATACGATACAATTGTATTTTAATGGTTTAACAACAGGCAAAAGATTAATATAGGAGAAGATGTTTATTGCTTAGAGAAGAGGGTAGGCGCTCTGGACACTTTGGTTCTAATCCTAGCTCTCCTGCCGCTCCCTGGGCGCTTCCCCCAAGCATCCCTGCCTGCCCTGGGCAGCGGGCGGCTTCCCCCTGCAGCTCCACACTGTGCTTCCTCGCCGTCCGCTGCCGGCTACAAGGGAGCGGTGCCGGGGGCAGGCTGAGGCGATTGCTGCGCCTGAGGAGGGCAGGGGAGGAGGCACATGGCAGCCCTCCCCCCCCAGCAGGTGACTCCGAGTTGACTCCGGGGGGCTTATCCTGGCTGGATCTCCCTGAGTGTTGTGCCAGGGGGCCCCTCCCTCCCCCCGAGCTCGCTGCTGCCGGCAGGGAGAGGGCTGGGGGGAGTCCTCCTCTCTGGTCCCCCCGCCCCAGCCCAGCCTGCCTGCTGCACCCCAAACTCCTCATCCCCAGCCCAGACCCTACACCCCCTTCCGCACCCCTACCCTCTGTCCCAGCCCAGAGCCTGCACCCAAACCCCCTCCCAGAGCCTGCAGCCAGCACTCCAAATCCCCTCCCACATCCTCTCCTGCACTCCAACCCCCTGTCCCAGCCCAGAGCCCACACCCAGCACTCAAACTCCCTTCCAGAGCCCGCACCCCTCCCGCACACAAACTTCCTCCGAGATCCTGCACCCCAAACTCCCTCCCACAGCCCGCACCCCCTCCTGCACCCCAACCCCCTGCCCCAGCTCAGAGCCTGCACCCAGCGCCCAAACCCCCTCCCAGAGCCTGCACCCCCTCCTGCACCCCAACCTCCTGTCCCAGCCCAGAGCCTGCACCCAGCACCTAAACTCTGACCCAGAGCCCACATCCCTCCCGCACCCAAACTCCCTCCCAGAGCCTTAGGCATGTGGGGGGGCGGGGGTGGGACTTGGACCCATTCTGGGCACCACCAAAAATTATACAAACCTGCTGCCCCTCGTAACATGGGAAATTCACTGAAGTCAATGAAAAGCCTCCCAAATTTAGCCACCTTAGAAGCCTTTGAAAATCACAATTCACACATGCTCACTCCTTTTATTTTAACAGCTAAAATCTCCAAAGATGCTGTCTTTGCGGCGCATGCTCCATCCCTTTCTGGCAGTGCCTGTGATACTGAGACTGGGGAGGAGGGATAGCTCAGTAGTTTTAGCATTTGCCTGCTAAACCCAGGGTTGTGAGTTCAGCCCTTGAGGGGGCCACTTAGGGATTTGGGGCAAAATCAGTACTTGGTCCTGTTAGTGAAGGCGGGGGCTGGACTTGATGACCTTTCAAGGTCCCTTCCAGTTCTAGGAGATAGGATATCTCCATTAATTTAATAATAAAAAAAAAAAGCTGGGACTGGGAACCAAAGGCAGGGGAGAGGAGGACTGGAACAGGGAGAGGGCAAGGAGACTGGGACTGAGAGCTGGGGCTTTGGAGAGTCTGTCACTGGCTAGGCAAGGAGACTGGAATTGGGAGCCAGGGTGAAAGGGGAGGGGAGAGACAGATAGGAGGAGCCAGGAGGGGAGAACTTAGAATGGTTGTACAAGGAGACTGGAGCCAAGGAGTTGGGGTGTGGGGAGAGGGAAACTGGGACTGGCTGGGCAAGGAGAGTGGGACTGGATGTGGGGAGTTTGGGATTGGGAGTTTAGGACTTGCTGGGCAAGGAGACAGGACTGGGATGAGAAGCCTGAGGAGTGGAAACTGTGACTGGAAGAAGGAGCCAGGGGTGGGGAAAGAGACTAGACAGGGATAGGGCAGAAGGACACTTGGGAGGAATGGGCAGAAAAATCTGTGCCCACTAGAGTAGTGGTTCTCAAACTTTAGTAACCCAAGGACCCCCATTTTGATTTAAAATTTTGCCAAACCTCCCTGCTCAGCCCCAGGCCCCGCCCCCACTCCACCCTTTCCCCCAAGGCCCCACCCCACCCTTTCCCCACCCCCGTTCCACCCCTGCCCCTCCTCTTCCCTGCCTATTTCGGCCCCCTCCTCCTCTCCCCCCAGAGCACCTCCTGCACGCCGGGGAACAGCTCGTCCCTGGCATGCAGGAGTTGAGGGTGGGAGGGGGAGGAGTTGATCAGCGGGGCTCGCGGAGCCCCTGGAGTACCCTCGCGGACCCCCAGGGGTCTGTGGACCCCAGTTTGAGAAACTCTGCAGAGCATACTCCGCTCCAGGGCCTGGAATGGTCACCAGAAATGGTCACTGAAAATTCAGTTATTTGCCCAGCTCTACTCCTGATTCTTTTCATTGTCTGTTTCCCCTCTGAAATAAACGCAAAATTCTGATTTTAAAGTCCTCCCATATGCTGCATCTTGGATACATAAAATATTTCACCATCCCCAAATCCATCACTTCTGTTAAATAATATTTATACAAAAACACTGTCTTGTCCCCACACACTTCCCCTGAACCTGCTATGACACTCAGGGCACTACATTAAATGGGGTCATTATAAATACAAATTATTTTTAAAATGCATAATAATTATTTAAAATCTCTCGTGTACATTCGTGTTTTTAATGTGAAACTAAATAAATAAAACCTAGAGTGTACCAGGTTCCTATATTTTTCAGATCATCACAGGAAGTGTTGCCATACTATTATGCTAATTTAATAGCCAAAGGCTTAATTACCATCTATAACTAAACAATATGTCTGGTTATTATTCTCAAGCCTCATCATGTAGAACCAAACTGATATCTCTTGTGACAAAAATAAAACAGACTTTTCTTTAGGAGCTAATTAGTTTTAGAATTCTGACGCTCATTTTTTGATGTTGTTTTTTCTTTCCCCCTTCCTTCCAGACAGAAACACTGCTTCTTCAAGTGGAAAAGAGAACTCTGTGTGACTGTGTAACTGCAGACACGCTGAACTGAATGCTGGAGAACAGCCAAAAAGTGTCACCGGTTCAGCTGTTTTTTAAAATGTTGCTGTATGTAATACGGACAGCTGTGTGGAGTACATATTGCAAGCACGTAAGCCCCAGTGTAGTGAGGAAAGCAGGCGGGGAGTTTCTGTATGAGATGGTGGGGTGGGGTGGTCTGTCTTATGCTTGTTTTCTCCAGTATGAAGGTGCAACTATTGTGGCTTGACTGATTGATCATATGAAGACAGAGCATTGCATGCTGGAATCTGTAGTCTCTGCAGGCTCTATCTCCATATTAAAGGTAATGGTAGCTGCAATCCATTCTGTTATTTATAATGTAAATTTGGACCAGATTCAGCCAGTTTGTAACTCTGTGGATTTCAATGGTGCTACACCTGCTTATATCTGGACTGAATTTGGCCCTAAACAGGACTCCTGGGTCTCCTGGGAAGCTGTCACCTATATTTTCTCCAATCCAGTAATCCCTGAATTAAATCATACACTGTCACTACCTACTTAGTGCTCCCACTATGTGCCAGCACGTGTAGAAATAGCTATTGTTTTAACAATCTAAATGCATGTTCTGTACAAAGGGAAAAGGAGAATAAAACTACTAGAAAAACAGGTAACCCCACACCCAAATGTACCTTGTTTCCTTTTGAATGAGATCTTGACAATAGGCTAAGCTAAAAGCTCAGTGTGAATGGGGGAAGGAGGAATCAAATTTTCATTCACTGTCACAGTGCAGTGTAGCTTTTCTCTGAGAAAGTACGTTCACCATAGGAATGTACATGGCACTCAGATGTTGTCACTGAGCTAGTTAGTGGTGTCACAAAGCAACACACTATTGAACAAGTCAACTTTTGTACACATCAAAAATGTCTTCTACGTTCTCCCCGGGGTGAGTGCTCATGCACTACGGGAGCCCTGTTTTCTTTGCCCTCTGCAAACCTTGTGTGTATATTGTAAGTATGAAAAGGGGAAGAAGTGAAAGCATTAGAAATTACTGAGTTATGCAGATTAAGAGAGACAAGATGTAGAGAGACAAGGAGGGTGAGGTAATATCTTTTATTGGACCAACTTTTGATGGTGAGAGAGACATGCTTTTGAGCTACACAGAGCTCTTCTTCAGATCTGGGAAAGGTAGTCAGAGTGTCACATCTAAAGACAAGATCCAACAGCTAGTTGAGCATAAGTAGTTAGCACATGGTCTAAGGGACCATTCAAGGCCTGTTTGAACCCCTCCTGAAAGAAATCTTACACGAATCCCCTTTTCTGGCCCCCAAATAACCTCCCAACCTCTCCAAGCCCATCACTAGAAGCAAGCTTTATTTATTTAGCTTCTTTTCTTTCAGGCCCTCCTTAAAACTCACTCCTGCTGCCAGGCCTCCTACAAGAAGTACCTTAATTAATCTAAAACTCCCCAAAGAACTAAACCCCCAGTCCCCCTTTTTAGTACATTTTAACAGCACCATCAGGGCATGCATATAATCTTATTACTATAAGCTTTGTCCTTCCTCACTCCTTCCCTGCATTGTGTGTTAACCCCTCGCTGTGTCACGATAACATTAAATTAGAAGCTCTTTGAGGCAGAGCTTTTGTCTTATTTAAAATAAATAAAATAAAAAATAAATTAATGGAGATATCCTATCTCCTAGAACTGGAAGGGACCAAAGGTCACTGAGTCCAGCCCCCTGCCTTCACTAGCAAGACCAAGTACTGTTTTTTTGCCCCAGTTCCCTAAACGGCCCCCTCAAGAATTGAACTCACAACCCAGGGTTTAGCAGGCCAATACTCAAACCACTGAGCTATCCCTCCCCCACTGAAAGTACTCAGTACACTTTGCGGTGCTGTAAACATATAAACTAAGCATCGCCATTTAAAATGTGTTTATCTGTTGCTCTAGTTTCACGTACAACATTTATTTGATAACATACATACACAAATAAATGGGCCCATGTCTGCAATTTAATATAACATAACCCACCTACACTCATACTCTTTCCCCCTCATCCATGGAGATGCTCAGTATCTTTACGACTCTGTCTTTCTCACAGTCACTCCATGGGAGTGGGGAACAGCGGAGATAGGGGCTCAGAGGTCTTATGAAAGAATTGAATTTTAAGAAGTGACTTGAAGGAGGTGAGGGTGGAGGCATATCAGACCAGGTCAGAGGAATTCCAAATGTCAGGGGCCATGAAGAAGAAAAAGACACAAAGATTTGCAGGCACGTCACTTCTTTATGTAATCCGTCCCTCTTTGCAAGTATTTACTAGTGGTCAATGACATGCAGCCATAGTGGGGTAAGGAAACATCCCACCATAAAAATGTTATTTTAAAACTATTATTCATTCTGAACTGTGAAGCAGGGACTGCAGTAAATGTAATAAACAGGACCCAGGCAAAGGATTGTTTCCTGCAACTGGTCCAATATTTCCTGATGTCACTCTCTGATTTCTGCTGTGAACAATGAAGATCTTCCACCATGTCAGTATGTCTTCATGAGCCTTGAGTGCAAGCTGCTCTTTGAATCAAGGCACATGATACCACCCTCTGAGTGTCACTTAAGTAGCCAGTCGGTGGTTAAAACCATGTTACATTCTTATTGCTTTGTCAATAAAGTCTGAAAATGGGACTGTGCTGAAAACTCACAGTTTATATAGCTGCTCTTTTTTGAGTTACAAAATCAGCTCGCAGGAGTGCTGACTTTTGCTGTTGCGTAGGGTTAGCGGGACATGCATTTCAAGAGAGGCCTGCATTAAAGTTCTTTTCTTTGAAGGACCTGAATGG